TCTACTTATTTGCATAATTGCTGTTAAACTAAAGAACTAAGAACTAAACATGGAGAAGCAGCATTTAGTTCCTATGCTCCACTTATCTGGAACAAACTTCCAGAAAACTGTAAAAGTGCAGAAAGCCTGAGTTCTTTTAATAATAATAATAATAATACATTTTATTTAACAGCGCCTTTCTTGACACTAAAGGTCACTTTACAAATAATACAAAAAAATAAATAAAAAGAGATGAAAATACAAAATACAGATACAGGAACATAAAAAAACAAAAAAAAAACAATCATGGATAGGGAAAAGAGCAGTTTTAAATCAAGACTAAAAACACAGTTGTTTAGGCTTGCCTTCCACTGTTCTAGTTAAACAGTTCAACTAAAACATCATTAGTTCAACTTTTTTATTTTCTTTAGTCCAACTGTTTTTTATATTCTTTTTTGTTTCTGCATTTATTTTTTATTTTTTCCTACTTGCTTTGATTCTGTTTTATCTTCCTGTATTTTAATCATGTAAAGCACCTTGCATTGTCTTTGTACTGAATTGTGCTAAACAAATAAATTTGCTTTGCCTTAAACAAACACATAGTCAGAAAATAAATAGTTTTTATATATTAAAAAATATAAAGCTGACTAATAGCTTCTCCATTATTAAACTGGTACATAATTATTTTTAGGCTCGTGAAACAATATTGGACCGTGCAAACGCAGATTTGCCTTCACAAAGCAGGGCGAGATTTATGTACAAAAAGTAAACCTGTTTGCAAATTTATGTTTTGCTTTATAAAGCGCTTTTTAAATGTTTTTTTGTTGTTGGCATTCATATAGATAAACTGGTGTGATACCTTAGTATACGTTTGTTTGGTATACAAACGTATACCCCCCCCCCATTAAAAATGGTACTTTTACACTTTTACTGGAGTAAAAAGTTTAAGTTGATACTCTGCTTTTTAGAGAGGATTTATACTTCTACTGGAGTAATGAACAATATTACTTTTGACTCCTCTGAATGTAACCTGCTAACTGCACTGAAGTGAAATGTCCATTTAATTCAGTCAACTTAAAAGTTGATGTTGTTTCAACTTAAAAAAATGCATCTGTGGTTTGAAACCAATAATTTCACTTTTCCTGGAATTAAAAATCCCTTTTCACAGAAACAATCAACTAAAACAATTATTTTCCAAGTAAATATCTACTTCAAGTCAAAGGTAATAGTATCACTAGGCGTTTATCCTTCCACATGCTGTAACTCACTAGCCTGGTGAGACCATCCTGATCTCGCGAGTTTTCAAGGTTTCACTCGCAGATCAGTCTGGAGACTCTCCGTTAAAGAAAATTTGGAGCCGTTCACCAAACGAACGTCCAATCAGCGTTGGCTTTGAGGCGGGTTGAGGTGTGACGTAACGAGAAGCGCCACAGTTCAGTCTAAAGAACATGGCGGCTTCAGCCGATGAAACTAGCGTTAGCGTGGCTATCGAGCAAGTTTTATGGGAATTACAGAGTATTTCTCCACTGAAAGAAGAGCAAAACACTGCTCTGGAGGCTTTTCTCAGAGGAAAAGATGTTTTTGCTCTTCTCCCGACTGGTTTCAGCAAGAGTTTGATCTATCAATTGGCTCCTCTTCGTCGTCGCTCTGTTAGTGCGTCATATGCTTCGTTGATCTGATTGGTTTATTTGGCCCGTCTATCACCAACATAGGCCAATCAGCTAACCAGTATTTTCGCCCCTTCCCAAAATTACTTCAACGGAAGGTTTCCAGACGGATATGCGGAGCAAATCCATCTGGAGGAGTCAGGTTAGTAACTCACGTGAATGTGACCTCATCACCTGACTAATTGAAAATAGGTGCGAGCAGCACAGCGCCACCATGAGCAAGGCAGCTGTTCCAACTAATTCAGTCTGCTCAGTTTCAGAATAGCAAGGATTATGATGGGCAGGCATTGTACTCATCAAGAGAAATGGCTCCGTTATCATATGGAGACGATTGTACAAACTCAGAGGAACTTAAAAAAATATATAATAGGATTGAATTAATGATCTAATTATGTTTTTATTCTTTGAAATAAATATAGTTTTACATTTTTGTCACTACTTTATTCCAAATTACATTTATACTTTTATGTAATGGTACAGATTTCATTTTTCCAAATAGAAAAAATAGATTATAAAATAGCATAAAACTTGTTTATGATCTGTTATAAGTTATAGTTTTACTTTGTATGAATGTAGTTTCTTTCTTTGGTTTAAGGTAAAAAATATATTTCTAGTAAATCAAAATGTATAGTTTGAACCACATCAGAAACTTAATTTGAGACAAAGTAATAAATTTAGGTGTAACAAATTACGGTAATTTTTTTAAGTTGATCCAAAGTTTTTTTTTTTTTTTCAGTGTGAGGTCTGCAGATTCTGATACGGAGTTCAAAGGTTTAGTTCATGTCTCTGAGTTTCACACTGATCTTTAGCTGAACAGGTTTGTGAACACACACCTGCATGCAAGTTTCCTCAATTTATCACCAGTTTTTGTGTAAAAATAAATGAAAGCATTTAATATTTTTGTGTTATTTTACAGAAAGTGATTTCAAACATTCCTTTGAAAGAACAAAACAAACATGTTTAAACTCTTCTTTGGTTTCTAAACTATTGGAGGGAAACAAGCGGAGCTCAGGAGGTGTCTGTTGTCCTCTAAGTATAAGTTTGAAGCGAGATCACAAAGCAGGGCCGACACCTGAACCTGTGGCACCAACATGGTGATCTGAATGATTGCAGTGTACAGCCAGAAACCTTTTAGATGTGACCGTGAACTTTGGAGCACCTCAAACATTCATAAATATTTACAGTCGGAGCAGACAGAAGCCATTTTGGGTCTAATGCCACATGCAGAGGGTCAGAGAGAGAGCAACCGTGTCAGGGAGCGTGCAGCAGAGATAAGGGTTGTTTGAATTAGGAGAATAAATCATTGCAGGAACTATACATTTTAGGAACAGAGGTGAAAAGGAAAAAGACGTATCTAAAAATCCTCTGCACATCTGCATCCTCCAGACAGAAGGGCGGATGAAGATCCTGAAGGAGAGCCCTGCTTTAAGCTGGGCATACACTGTGCCATATTTTCAATCATTGCACGCTGCTACAGCTCCACATGTTTAGGGTTTAAGGTGCTCTCAGGCTGTGCAACCTGACACGTTGATGCGATCTACCTGCTCACACTGCACTTCCAAAAACCCCACGACTCAGCGCCGAAGCTCTGCTTCAACAGCAAGATTTGTCCACGACCACCTCACGACAGCTGACAGAATTTCAAACGTGATTGATTTTCTCCCGACCGTACGATTCCTGATCCCTGTATACTACACCTGGCACCCCCAACCTTGGTCCTGGAGGCCCGCTGTCCTGCAGGTTTTAGAGGTTTCCCTGCTTTAGCACAGCTGGTTATAATGATTGCAGTAGACCAAAAGCCTGTTAACCAGCTTTAAATTAAAATCAGCTATGCTGGAGGAAGGAAACCTCTAAAACCTGCAGGACAGCGGGCCTTGAGGACCGAGGTTGGGCATGCCTTTACTACACGACGCAGGACGCACCATGAGGCTGAAACTGGACCTGCTCGAAAAAACATTTGTGCACGAATGGAGAATCGGCCCGAAAAGGGCAAAAAATCGTACAGTGTGGATCTGCTTTAGGCAGCAGAAGACCTGAGTCTGTGTTGGATGTTCAACCTCCAGCAGACTAACCACTCTCTACATATAGACACAGCTACAATGGATGCTGTAGACTGGAGCTGATCCATGGGTCTGAGGGGCTCAGTCCAAGTCCAGAACTAAATCTGACTGAAAATATGTAGCACGATTTGAAGACTTTTGTTCACTGATGCTTTCTACCTAATATTTTACTAAAGAAAATAGTTGGTAAGACAAAAATAAAGCAATTTAAGCCCCGCAACTATGGACTGAAGACCACTGGTTTAGAGCAAAGCATGTTTACGTGTTAAAATGGCCTAATCTAAGTCCAGAAGAAAATCCAACTGAGAATCTGTGAGCAGACTGATATTCATAGAGAGATTCAAACTCTGACTTCAGCTGGTATGAATAGAGAGATGAGCAAAATTTTCACTGTAAAGAGATTAGGGCTGCAAATAATGATTTTGTCTCAAATGGTAAATGTGTAAAATCGCATAATCTGTTGAATATTTTTTAGATGAATCGATGAATAATCGGATAGCCAAAGGTTCCTTAGAGAAGCCTTCTTACAAAATTAAACCTGGAGAAACTAAACTAGAGCATATAGAAAGATGGAAGCTTTTTTTTTTATCTTAAATGCTAAATGTTTATATATATCTTTTTATTTTTTGATATAATTCCTGCTCTAAGTGGGTAGCTCTGTCAGCTAAAAGCCTGTTTTATACTCTCTATTCTCCAGTTAATGATTAATCAACTACTAAATTAGATGAAGATTATTTCAATAATCGATTCATCACCATTGATCTTATTAATTGTTTCAGCCCTAAAAGAGATAAAAAGCAAGAGTAACGCTCTGCAGTCAGAGGTGGTTCTAAAAAGTTCTGACTCAGAATGGTGAATACAAGTGCAAGCAACACTTTTGTTGAAAAAGTATTCAGCCAAATAATCTAAATGCATTTAGCTTTGTCTTCTTATTTCACGCTGTGCACCCTACTGTGTCTGTTAGCTCATACTGTTAGGAATCCAGTTTGTGTGGGTTGTGTTTTCTCCCTCCACCACCAGGTGGTGCCTGGCTCTCGTTGGCCCTTCCACACACCTGCGGATGGTTGCCTCATGATTACCTGAGGACTCTTAAGCTGCTGACTGCCGCTACCTCGAGTGTTTGCCAGTTTTGGGTACTCTAGTCAAACTGAGTTTTTGTCTCCCTGAGTCTTAACCTTGTTGTTTTTGTCTTTGCCTCTTGGCAGGAAGTCATCCTGCAAACTGGAAGTTTGGGCCTTCTCCCCCTGGAAGGATCATCTTGAGCTTCATACTGACCAGGGGATTCAAACTGGAGGTTTGGATCTTCTGCCCCCCGAAAGGATTGTTTGAGCTTCATACTGAGCAGGGGATTCATCTCCACAAGAACGGTTCAAGTGCCGCAGGAAATCTAAGTGGCAGTCAGCTCCACCGCTCCTCAAGGAACCAACTTAACCTGGGTAAATCCTGTCCGCCCTCCAACGAGTCAACAATTTCTGGAACAACCTACACCGACTGGATTCTCGGAAGGACACCTTTTCTGGAATCGTGAGTCCAGTTGCTGTTTCTACTTTTGCAAATCGTAGCTCAATTTTCCCACTGAGCTTGAACTAAACACTGAACTTCCCTCATCACTTTCCAGTGCCGGTTCACCAGCGTTCAGAGTAACACTGGACCCATCTCGACTTGTTTTCAATAAACCTGTTAAACCTTCCCTGGCTTCTCCAAGTGGTTTCCTGCATTTGGGTCAGATCGCTTAAAAAGATCATGACAAATAAAACATCAAATGTTATCAGACATGGGGTTTCTTTAATACTTGGATGCTTTTAACAGGCCTGCAGATATAAAAGAAAAAACATATATATATATAAAGATAGATAGATATCTATAGATATAGATATATCTCTCTCTATATATGTGGATTTTATCTATCGAACTGTTAGTGAGCTTACTTTAACTTTACCTCTGTGCTTTTTGCCTGATGACCTGTTCCTAACAGAGGTAATCCTCCTTTTGTCTGAGTGTTCACGCTGTAGCAGGGTCTCCTTCCAGAGGTAAAGCCTGGAGCCGTTAGTGTAAGGGTTAAAGAGACTGAGCTGTTTTTCCTCTGTTGTCTCTAAAAGCTTCCAGCAGCTCTGACAGATCGGGGCTTTCAGATCACTTGTTGCTAATAGAGGGAGATTTACCCTAACGTGAACAGGGAGAGTGTAACCTCAGGTCACTGCACTCAGCAACAACACTCACACAAAGACACACAGACAGGCCTGCTCTGCTTTTACAGCAGGGACAGACGGATACACTGTAAAAAATGGCCGTCTGAACCAGTCATGCAAGCTCTGCGCAGATAAAGCAGAAGGTCATAAGCAGGTCAGACGTGTTTTCAGCTTCGCTTGGAGACTTTCTTCACCCAGGGGCTGGAAGTGAGGGTCTGCTGAGCTGATCTGGTTTAGCCCATTAAAAGTTTCATGCATCTACTGTTAAAATACTCCAGCCTGGTTGGACCTGCAGCAAACCTGGATTTAGGTGATTAAAAAAGTTGCATTACTCAACAAATAGCTGTGAGAAGCAGAGACTTCTGAAATGTGGAAACCGGAAAATTAAGTACATCATTTGAATTATAGCTGTTAAAGATAAGCTCTGTGTTTACATCTTGAAGCTTTTCACTCTCCGGTTCTTTTTCCTGAGAAGAAATAACTCGGGACAAACTCTTTCATAACACTTCAAGGACATATATGTATTAAATAACCAGGAGGCATGACAACAGATTTTGATAGGAATTGTAACCTTCCTCAGATCAGGGAAGTTGCTTAGAGTTACAGAAGGCAGCTGCTTACCAATCGGGCTCACTTCTCAGGAAGTGGCCCCGATTAACAGTTAAAGAAGCATTTTATACATCTCCAGTCTGCCACATCATCACATTTTACATCTTACACGTTACCACAGGAGTAGACATCCATGGGTCCAGCCTTATCAAGATATCACACTTTGTTTTAGCTGAAGGACGCCGCTCTCATTCTATTCCCAAATCTTTGCCACGTGCAGAATATAGATTATAACTCTATATCAGGACAGAGGGAGTGTTTTAATTAGATAAATTACTGGGGAAAACATCAGTTCTGACACACAGCAGGCAGCTAATATTAAGGTGTAATAAACTCACACATCCTCATTGATAATTATCCTAACATGCCCTAAGATGATGAAAACTAGAGAAAATGCCAAGGCTTTTCAAGGCCAGGGTGTGATGTGTCATTCTCCGGGTCTCCTTCTGGTTGAGCATGGCTTAAACACCTCTTGAGAACAAAAAGGAACAGAGCACAAAGATTGGCCCTACCACTTTGGACCAGTGGTGTTCAATTGTGGTTCTCATGGCTGCATTTTATTTTTCTGCTGCTACACGCCTGCTTTAATGAATGGATGAGTAACAGGTAGCTGCTGCACATGTTGGTATGCAGAGCAGTAAGCAGGACATGATGCAGGACAGTGATCCCTCAACTGCAAGGGTAGGCAGTACTGCTTGAGCTGCCCAGTGATGACATATTTAGCCGCATATCATAATTGCTGGTTATCAACATGGTGTCCTGAAAATGATGCCCTACGTTGATAATTCGTCAACTTTCTAGGAAAAAGCTCTGATTCGGAGAGATTGCATCCATCCCACTTTGGATGGTGCAGCTTTTCGTTCTAGAAATCTGGACACATTTATTAGTCCTGCAAAACCTTCAAAGCCCAGGGTGCAGCTTCTCAACTGTTACCTTCTATTACACCATCCAGACAGTGTCTTTCCCACTACAAAATCCAATAAAATAGAAAATATCCTAAAAGATTTAATCAGGATATTTCAATTAAAATTAAAATGACTGCAATTGTGAAACAAGTTAATACAATTTAAAATAGTTTACTTAACACCAGCTCTTTCTTCAAATAGTTTACCAGGCAATGACTTGTTCTGAGATGACTTACTGAAACCATAAGAGGATTATGTTAGCATAAATTAGGCACCTCCCTCCAACAATTTAAATTTTCAGAAATGATGGGCGCAGAGTAGTAAAAATAATCTTTCAGTCTGATTTCCAAAGCCAGTTAATAGTTACATCTCATGAACATTTAGCCCTTAGTTTCCCTCATCTAAAATGTAAAGCAAACAAATCTCTTCTTTTGTAACTTTGTATCATCCAGCAGGTCCTTACTCTGAAACGTTTGTTTTCAGAGTTCCTCTTTGATTCAGTGTTAAACTCTGACAAGGTCATTATAGACGAGGATTTTAACATCCATGCTGACATTGAAAGTAAGAGCTGAAATGCAGCCTTTAATGCTATGTTAGACTCGATTGGCTTTGTTCAAAATGTGAATAGTCTCACACATTCTCATCTTCATATTTTGGACCTTGTGCTGACATAAGCTATTGGATGTTAAGAAATAACAGTATTTTCCTAACAACCCTGTTCTCTCTGACTTTATTTCACTAACCTTAAAAATAACTTCAACAGTTTTAAAGTTACCAAGGTTTAACTTAAGTAGATCATTATTAGATAATTTAGTTATGCATTTTAAAGAATCTGCTGTACATTTTATCTCCTCTATATTACTGCAGAGAAAAAACATTTAATTCATTGTAGTTACTTCTTCTCTGGGTTAGTTTTTCTCCACATGCTGCTTTAGACAACACAGCCCCTTAGGAAAAGGGCAACCTAATTAATAGGAGGCTGGTTGCTATGGTTAATGAAGAGCTGCTCTTTAAAGCATAATGCTCATAAACAGGGGAAAAAATGTATTGTACATGCCTATAGGAATCCTACAATACAGTCTACTGAGGTACAAAATTACCCTTTGTAAAAAAAATAAAAAAAACTGTAGCATATTTGTCATCATTAATAGAGGAGAATAAGAATTGGAATAATAATCATAGAATTCATTCAAGCATCACAGAGTTTCTAATGATACTGCCATCTGTGGCCAAAACACAGAACTGCAGCACTCTTCTGCTCTTTCTTGTAGTTTGCGCTTGACCTTTAGTAGTTTTGTTTAATTTTATTTTTAATTTTACATGGAGCTGTCATTGGTGTCTGACTTGTGCTTGAGCATCAACAAAATCTATCATAAATATATAAGTTCCCACCAGAGATGGGAAGTAACAAAGTACAAATACTTCGTTACTGTACTCAAGTAGATTTTTCTGATATTTTTACTTTACTACTTATTTTTATGGCGACTTTTTACTTCTACTCCTTACATTTTTACACAAATATCTGTACTTTCTACTCCTTACATTTTAAAAAATTGGCTCGTTACTTTAGTTTTGAATCATTTCAATGGAGTTACCGTTATTATTTTTCACGTCATCAATACCAAATTCAATCTAATTGGATGGGAATCTACGTTGCATTTGACGCACCACTACAAGATGAATCGACAGATTCGGCGGTATTCATTGGCGGCAAATCATTGCAGCTTGGTGGCGGTGGCGTTAGCATAGTAGCATGGACGACGAGATGATTGAAAATGAACACAACAGAGATCTAGTCCTATTGGCAGACATCCATTTAAAATGTAGGCAACGGCATGAAAAAAGTGGTTTCTACTTTTACTTTTATACTTTAAGGAAATTTACAAGCCTGTACTTTGTTACTTTTACTTGAGTAAAGAAGTTTAATCAGTACTTCCACTTTTACCAGAGTATTTTTTAACACAAGTATCTGTACTTTTACTCAAGTACGGAAAGTCAGTACTTTGCCATCTCTGGTTCCCACCCAAAGTAAATTCAGAAAAATGTGAGGCAGGCTTATAGATGAATCAGGGCTGAACTACCGAGGTGTCAGTCTGCTCATCAAACAATGTTTTAGTCATAAAGGGTCAAATAAGAAGGATATGTTGAAGTAATTTTGAGTAAAAATGTACAAAATGTCTCTATAGGAAGCAATCTCTTGATCCATATGAATGTTAATTTTAAACCTTTTTATAAACTCCCGTTCTTATCCAACATTCTTGAGAAAACTCTTTAAATTAACAGATTTGTGATAACTAACACCATAATCTTTCAAGAATCTGGGTTTAGAGCTCACCATAGCACTGAAACAGCTCTGGTGAAAGTCACTAATGATATTCTCATGGCCTCAGATAATGGACTTGTATCTGTGCTCGTCCTGTTGGATCTCAGTGCTGCATTCGATACAGTTGTAGGAATTAAGGGAACAAAACTGGACTGGTTTAAATCGTATCTATCTGACCGATTAAACTTAACTTGTTAATGATAAATCTTCCTCATGCTCCAGGGTTACCTGGACGGGTTAGTGTTAAGTTTTTACTTAACAGCTCATGGAAACATCTTTGGAAGTTCATGCTACAGCCTTTCATGAAACCCATGTGTCAGTCACTGATGAGAGGGGTATCCCTTTCGCGTCAGTATCTAATGCCCAGGGGACTTTACCATGCATCAATATGTGATGAGCTGAAAGTCAGACTGTATTGGTGGAAACACAACTTTTTCAATAATCTTACTGATAAAGAGGAGATTTGATATAGGACTCTAGTTCTGCAGGATTAATTTGTCCAAGCTTCTCTTCTGTTTATGATTTGAATCAAATCAGACTCTAAAACAGTTAAAACCTTTTTGACAAAAACTGTAGATAAAACATCAAGACAGCAGGAAGAGGAGTTTAACTGCTGAACAGTTTCTTCTAAACTTTTGCAGTTTATTTGGCAGGAGGCTATGATGGATTGGGGGGCCCTAGGCTATGACTGAGCTTGTCTTGCACCAGCTCTGGTCTGTAAATTGAGGAAGAGTCTGACCTTGTATGGACAGAAAATCCACAATCAGACTTTTTTTTTTTATTCTTAATTCCGAACATGCACGGGAAAAACAAAAAAAACAATAAAACAATGTTTAAAAACATTGGAGAGAAAAACAACAAACAAGGTCCCCTTCTTTCCTGAGTTAATTTACCTCCATTACATGTGCGAAAAGGAGTAGGAAGAAGTAAAACTTATGTGCTCCTACCCCTTTATTCTTGTATTTCTTCAATTTACAATATTTACAATTATTTTGCTATATATATCCATATAAATACATACCTACCTACACATATACATACATAAATATGTTTACACATATGCCTTCATACATATATACAAATAAACAAAACAAAAAAAAGACTTAAGTCTGTAGTTCTGATTTTTTTTCCTAAAAGCTAATATCCAGTTTTATTTAGCATTATATTCGCTCATTGGAGAGAAAGTATTCAAATCAATAATTAAAGGACCATCCGGCTGATGACGAGGCTATGGAAACATCATATAAATTAATGGTGGGAAAGAAAAAAGAAATTACCAGTTTAAAACTATTACACCAGAATATCTCTTAGTTTTGACATAAATCACCTAAAACTTTCAGCTATTTCAGTAGGAGAGCTTCAAACCTTACGTCATTATTGCATTATGGAGTCTCTTGGTTTTGCATTAAAGGTTCTTAGAGAGAAAGGTTCCTGCATTCCTGTTCGCGGCTTTGACTTGATTGTGCTGCAGTCCGGAGTCCTAGCCTGTAAATCCAAACATGGCGGGGTCAGGACCGCGGCATATTTGTTCAGCACCATGATAGGTGTCATGTTGGCAGGGCCACGTCCGGGAAGTGGCAGACATAACTGGCTCTGGAATGACAACAAGTTTAGCTGGGGAGTTATTCCTCCTAATTTGTTAGTGTTTTTTTCCAAAGTCAGAGCTTAACTCACAACACAGGCCGTTTAACTCCATCAGCGTTGTGTTTTATAATATGTTTTCATTTTTTATACAACATGCTGTTGTTGTTCCCCTGAACCCAGACCTTGACCCGCTTCCCCCCGGTTCTGTTTTAACAGCCTAAACTGTTATGATTGATAATTCAGCAGCAAATCCCTCAAACAAAGATCCAACATGAGAGCAAAGGAGAACTGCCCAAACACGGAAGTTCACTGGTTTTAAGGGAGATGTGCAGCAACATCTTTGATGTTTTCTGGGCAAATAAAATGGTCAGCATGAGCAGTGGATATACTTTTAAAAAACATTTGATTTAATTTCACTGTAAATAAAATCTAGAACATTTTTACTTCTTCGAAGAAAAGAACCAGAAGCCAAAGCTATTTTTTTTTTATTGCCTTGCATCTGTTTGGCAGCAGCTACTTTTTTTTCTAACTGATCTGATTAGTTGCATCTGTAAAAGACCAGAAATAAAAAAATACTTGCTTTTTAGAACACCAGTGTATGATTTATATTAGTAAATCTTTTTGCATGTTCTCCCTGTGAATGTGCGTGCTCTCTCTGGGCACATCAGCTTCCTCCTACCTGCCGAATGCTTGCATGTTAAGTTTGGGTGTATGTGTGTCAAAGCAATTAAATGCATTCCCTTCATTTCAGTTGAATTCAGTTGAATTAAATTCAGCCAGTTTACAAAACTCTCATCTTAAGGGCAGTTTTCATAGAAAATTCAATCAGATCATACTGTCAGGTTGTTAAAAGGAAACCAGCTAATTGCATTTAGTCATTAATTTGGTAAGATTTGCTGCTCCAGAATAAGCATGTGGCAGCAGAAGCTATTAACTTGCATTTTGTTATTGACTCTACAGCAGAGATGGGAAGTAACAAAGTACAAATACTTGGTTACTGTACTCAAGTAGATTTTTCTGATATTTTTACTTTACTTTACTACTTATTTTTATGGCTACTTTTTACTTCTACTCCTTACATTTTTACTCAAATATCTGTACTTTCTACTCCTTACATTTTAAAAAATTGTCTCGTTACTTTAGTTTTGAATCATTTCAATGGAGTCACCGTTATTATTTTTCACGTCATCAATACCAAATTCAATCTAATTGGATGGGAATCTACGTTGCATTTGACGCACCGCTACAAGATGAATCGACAGATTCGGCGGTATTAATTGGCGGCAAATCATTGCAGCTTGGTGGCGGTGGCGTTAGCATAGCAGCATGGACGACGAGATGATTGAAAATGAACACAACGGAGATCTAGTCCTATTGGCAGACATCCATTTAAAATGTAGGCAACGGCATGAAAAAAGTGGTTTCTACTTTTACTTTTATACTTTAAGTAAATTTACAAGCCTGTACTTTGTTACTTTTACTTGAGTAAAGAAGTTTAATCAGTACTTCCACTTTTACCAGAGTATTTTTTAACACAAGTATCTGTACTTTTACTCAAGTACGGAAAGTGAGTACTTTTGCCATCTCTGCTCTACAGCAATCTCTCACTCTGAGCATTCATGCAGCAACCTATCATCAGCATAACAGTAGTAATTAGTGGTTGAACTGTAAAGTGCCTTGAGATGACGTGTGTTGTGAATTGGCGCTATAAAAATAAACTAAATTGAATATAAATAGTGATGTGAGGGGTATCCCCGTCTCCTCAGCATGTGACACGCATCGGACTTTGAACACGCATCGATATGTGATGAGTTGGGCATGAGAATGTGTTGGTTTCACAGGTAAATGCCAACAATGATGAGCTGCTTTGATGTCTTCCAGTCAGGTCTCCGTACCAACCAAAGTACTGAGACTGCCCTGATTAAGGTGCTCAGTGACCTCTGGATAAATTCAGACCCTGGAAGAACCACAGTGCTGGTATTAATGGACCTCAGTGCAGCGTTTGATACTGTTGATCACTTTATTTCATTAGAGCGTCTGGAAAACTGAGTCAGCCATTCTGCTACAGCTCTGGACTGGTTTAAATCCTAAAGAAGGACATGGACTTTAATGTGTCAAAAGGGAACTTTAAATCCAAGACTGGAAAAATCACATGTGGGGTTAATCAAGGCTCCTATCTGGGGCCCCTCCTGTTCAATATCTACATGCTCCCTTTAGCAGAGATTATAGCCAACAGCATCAGTTACCATAACGATGCACACCACAAACAGCTTTCTATCGCAATGTCACCAGGTGACTATGAATCCATCAGAGTGTTGGCTGGATGTGGATAGATAGATATGTGGATGCACCATCATGTACTCCAACTACTTTTCTTCAGTTTGACATCTCATTCTGTTATTTATAAAAGACTGCTAGTTCTATGCTTGCTGCTTTTTGGATTATTTGCATATATCTATCAGAATTTCCATATTTGAGGTCACATTTACTAACTTAAGAAAAGAAGCTGTGCATTTGATGTACTGAAAATGAAAACAAAAAAAGAGTCCAGGCAAATTGCAGATAAGAACTAAATGCTTTAGTGGTTTCATCACGCAGCTGTGGGACAAAAACGGTTGGGTTCTCAGCGAAAAAGCAGTGTCAGCATAATGCAGATTCATTGTTTAAAATGTCTCTATCTGGGGATTTGGTGGATACAATTTCTCCTCTCTCTTAAAGACTGTTAGCCGAGTAAACTAAAAATTTTACATTTCCATTATTGTTTCAGAGGCAGGCTGAGCAGAGACCTGATTTCACCTGATTCCGACTCCACACAGCATTTCAGACTCAGTGAAACTATTCAGCCGACTTTGAGAAAACCTAACTTTCTGAGGTCAAATGTGGAACAGCCAGGTGCTCTTTCCCTCCGACCAAAAGGGAAGTTGTGTCTCTGAGTATTTTAATACATGATGGTATGTAAAGGCTTTACATACAGGAATATGCTTCATTTAACCTTTCCAGACAAGTTTTGTTTTTAATTTACAAAGTTACACCGAGAAAAAAAATCTAAATATTATATAAACAAAACGATGCTGGGTCTTACTTTGAAGTGTTGCTCAATGTATTTAATAAGTAATGTATGTTCTGAACAGAAGGAATAAAACCAACTTAAGTATTTTCAAAATTAATTTTATTGATATGTGTACGCTTTAAAGCAAATAGCAGTATAATATGGATCAAAAGAAAGCTTTCAACAAATAATCATAACTTCACAAAATAGCAAAACCTTTTTTTTTATTAACACATGAAACCATAATTGATCCACATAATTGATTGACCCACAATATCTACCAACCAATAGTTAACACTATGAAGCGACAATCACAGTTGGTGGTCATAATGTTTTGAGTGACACCCGACAGTTAAGATTAAAGGCTTAAAGGAAAAGGGACATTTTTTTGACTACAGCATTTCCACAAAATGTTATTTAGCGAGCCAGAAACTTTAAAAAAGCATAACCAAAAAAGCTGAATATTTACAACCTGCACCTGAATACAGTTCCTTTTGTTTTTTTGTTTTTTTTGGGGGGGGGGTGCTTGGACATAAAGGCTGAAGGTTCCAGCAAAGACTGTTTATATGTGAGACAGGAACAATGTGAAGATTAGATTAGCTGATAGGGAGCAGGTGTAGACAGAAGTAACTAGAAGGAGCTAAGGGAAATGAGAAAAAAATGGCAAAAAAAAAAGGGGGGGAGAGTAACTCAAAAAATACAACACTGCTGAAACATAACACAAAATGGAAAACAAATCAATGACACAGAATGACATCATAAATCAAAGTGTAACTGAAGATGTAAAAAAGAAAGGGCAGAATCATGACAGAAACACTGACATTGACGATTGTAATCATATTTGGTGTTTTTCTTCTTGCTAAATTTATGAATTCAAAGCCTTCTGTTGACAGATCCAACCTTTTTTTCCATTACAGCTCACAGATTTCCATCCATTAGCCTCTTTAACAGAAGTCGCACAGTGAAGTTTCGCCTCAGATTGTTGTAACCAGTAGCTAATAGAAGAAAAGGATTGTTATACTATAGAATGAAAGCATTATTCATGGCCTTAAGATTAATTTCTTACCTGTTTGTAATCTCACTGCCATTGACCCACTTCCAGCCAACACCATCAACCCTAAGGCCAATCCAGTAGCCGCTAATTTCTGCCCCAGCTAAACCACTTTTATAGATAAAGTCCTGATGAAAACCATAATAACATTGTTAGAAAACAATCATACTTAAGCAGTGATTGGTTTGGTTGCTGATGCAAGTTAAAATCAAATGTGGACCATTTCTCAAGACAAACCTGCTCCTCAGGAGTTCCAACAATCACCAACTCTGCATCCCTTGATCTGCAGTCATCTCGAGCTTCATCCCAAGTTTTTTGATCTACAAGCTTCCTGCTGCTGATCATGTAGCAGCTGGACTGGAAGAGGAACCAACCTTGTGGGCAAGGTTCAGTTTGTCTTTCTGAAAAGACCAATTCAAATGATTTCAGTTGGAGAGAAATTCTAGATTAGGATTATAAATATTATAGTTTTACTATACTTTTTCTGTTGTAGAAGTAACTTGGTGATGTTTGGAAATTACGTAGGTTATTGTAGTTAGGACTTGTTGTGGTAAACTTATAATCTGGTCTGCCATAGTAAGGTCGTGGTGTGGTGTAGTAACGCCTGTTGTTGAAATTACGTATTCCGCCGTAATAAGGTCGTGGTGTGGTGTAGTAGTAACGCCTGTTGTTGAAATTACGTATTCCGCCGTAATAAGGTCGTGGTATGGTGTAGTAGTAACGCCTGTTGTTGAAATTACGTATTCCGCCGTAATAAGGTTGTGGTGTGGTGTAGTAACGCCTGTTGTTGAAATTACGTATTCCACCGTAATAAGGTCGTGGTGTGGTGTTGTAACGCCAGTTGTTGAAATTACGTATTCCGCCGTAATAAGGTCGTTGTGTGGGGTTGTAACGCCAGTTGTTAAAATTACGTATTCCGCCGTAATAAGGTCGTGGTGTGGTGTTGTAACGCCAGTTGTTGAAATTACGTATTCCACCGTAATAAGGTTGTGGTGTGGTATAGTAACGCCAGTTGTTGAAATTACGTATTCCGCCGTAATAAGGTCGTGGTGTGGTGTAGTAACGCCTGTTTTTGAAATTACGTATTCCGCCGTAATAAGGTCGTTGTGTGGGGTTGTAACGCCTGTTGTTGAAATTACGTATTCCGCCGTAATAAGGTCGTTGTGTGGGGTTGTAACGCCAGTTGTTGAAATTACGTATTCCTCCGTAATAAGGTCGTGGTGTGGTGTAGTAACGTCTGTAGTTGAAATTACGTATTCCGCCGTAATAAGGTCGTGGTGTGGTGTAGTAGTAACGCCTGTTGTTGAAATTACATATTCCTCCGTAATAAGGTCGTTGTGTGGTGTTGTAACGCCAGTTGTTGAAATGACGTATTCCGCCGTAATAAGGTCGTGGTGTGGTGTAGTAACGCCTGTTGTTGAAATTACGTATTCCACCGTAATAAGGTTGTGGTGTGGTATAGTAACGCCAGTTGTTGAAATTACGTATTCCGCCGTAATAAGGTCGTGGTGTGGTGTAGTAACGCCTGTTTTTGAAATTACGTATTCCGCCGTAATAAGGTCGTTGTGTGGGGTTGTAACGCCTGTTGTTGAAATTACGTATTCCGCCGTAATAAGGTCGTTGTGTGGGGTTGTAACGCCAGTTGTTGAAATTACGTATTCCTCCGTAATAAGGTCGTGGTGTGGTGTAGTAACGTCTGTAGTTGAAATTACGTATTCCGCCGTAATAAGGTCGTGGTGTGGTGTAGTAGTAACGCCTGTTGTTGAAATTACATATTCCTCCGTAATAAGGTCGTTGTGTGGTGTTGTAACGCCAGTTGTTGAAATGACGTATTCCGCCGTAATAAGGTCGTGGTGTGGTGTAGTAACGCCTGTTGTTGAAATTACGTATTCCTCCGTAATAAGGTCGTTGTGTGGTGTTGTAACGCCAGTTGTTGAAATTACGTATTCCGCCGTAATAAGGTCGTGGTGTGGTGTTGTAACGCCAGTTGTTGAAATTACGTATTCCGCCGTAATAAGGTCGTTGTGTGGTGTTGTAACGCCAGTTGTTGAAATTACGTATTCCGCCGTAATAAGGTCGTGGTGTGGTGTAGTAACGCCTGTTGTTGAAATGACGTATTCCGCCGTAATAAGGTTGTGGTGTGGTGTAGTAACGTCTGTTGTTGAAATGACGTATTCCGCCGTAATAAGGTCGTGGTGTGGTGTAGTAGTAACGTCTGTTGTAGAAATGACGTATTCCGCCGTAATAAGGTCGTGGTGTGGTGTTGTAGTAACGTCTGTTGTTGAAATTACGTATTCCGCCGTAATAAGGTCGTGGTGTGGTGTAGTAACGTCTGTTGTTGAAATGACGTATTCCGCCGTAATAAGGTCGTGGTGTGGTGTAGTAACGTCTGTTGTTGAAATGACGTATTCCGCCGTAATAAGGTCGTGGTGTGGTGTAGTAACGCCTGTTGTTGAAATGACGTATTCCGCCGTAATAAGGTCGTGGTGTGGTGTAGTAACGCCTGTTGTTGAAATGACGTATTCCGCCGTAATAAGGTCGTGGTGTGGTGTAGTAACGCCTGTTGTTGAAATTACGTATTCCTCCGTAATAAGGTCGTGGTGTGGTGTAGTAGTAACGTCTGTTGTTGAAATGACGTATTCCGCCGTAATAAGGTCGTGGTGTGGTGTAGTAGTAACGTCTGTTGTTGAAATTACGTATTCCGCCGTAATAAGGTCGTGGTGTGGTGTAGTAACGCCTGTTGTTGAAATTACGTATTCCGCCGTAATAAGGTTGTGGTGTGGTGTAGTAGTAACGTCTGTTGTTGAAATGACGTATTCCGCCGTAATAAGGTCGTGGTGTGGTGTAGTAGTAACGCCTGTTGTTGAAATTACGTATTCCGCCGTAATAAGGTCGTGGTGTGGTGTAGTAACGTCTGTTGTTGAAATGACGTATTCCGCCGTAATAAGGTCGTGGTGTGGTGTAGTAGTAACGCCTGTTGTTGAAATTACGTATTCCGCCGTAATAAGGTCGTGGTGTGGTGTAGTAGTAACGTCTGTTGTTGAAATTACGTATTCCGCCGTAATAAGGTCGTGGTGTGGTGTAGTAGTAACGTCTATTGTTGAAATGACGTATTCCGCCGTAATAAGGTCGTGGTGTGGTGTAGTAGTAACGTCTATTGTTGAAATTACGTATTCCGCCGTAATAAGGTCGTGGTGTGGTGTAGTAGTAACGTCTATTGTTGAAATGACGTATTCCGCCGTAATAAGGTCGTGGTGTGGTGTAGTAGTAACGTCTATTGTTGAAATGACGTATTCCGCCGTAATAAGGTCGTGGTGTGGTGTAGTAGTAACGTCTATTGTTGAAATTACGTATTCCGCCGTAATAAGGTCGTGGTGTGGTGTAGTAGTAACGGGGTCTGTGGTAGGAAGGTTGTAGGGTTGTCAAATCCAAATGCGGTTCCCTCCAGTCCTTCGCAGAAGTTTCATGAAACTTGATGTTCTCCAGGTCCTTCAGCTTAGCCCCAATAACTGAAGTATCTACATTGTAAAAAGTTGATTTATGTTAATATTGAAATTCATGTCAACAGATTCAAGATAGAGTCTAGTGTTAGTTTTATACCAAATGATTGCAGAAATAATCAGAAGGTTTCTTCTAGTAATGATAAACTAGTTATCATTTCTTTATGAGGCTATCCTTCAAAAGGCATTCAAGGTAACCAACAGTCAGAGAGGATTTGGAAACCACTGACCAGGTCAGAGACTAACTCCTCCTTGATCTGGGTTGAATATGAGCGCAAATATTAGTAGTTAGGCCCTAAGGTAAAAGTGTATGTTTATTTTTCAACATTAGAAAATTGTGAACTGAGGATTAGTCCCTTGTCAGATCCCTAGTTCCCCTGTTACAAATCAACATTTGTGGCCTTTACTAGAAATGCTTACAGACACTGTTTAAAAAAAAATAGAAATACAGAACAGAACAAAAGCTCAGCAGTGCAGTCCAAATGGGACAAGAATGCAAAAATAAAATAGGGGATATACACTCACCGGCCACTTTATTAGGTACACCTGTCAAACTGCTCGTTAACACTTAATTTCTAAGCAGCTAATCACATGGCGGCAACTCAGTGCATTTAGGCATGTAGACATGGTCAAGACAATCTCCTGCAGTTCAAACCGAGCATCAGTATGGGGAAGAAAGGTGATTTGAGTGACTTTGAACGTGGCATGATTGTTGGTGCCAGAAGGGCTGGTCTGAGTATTTCAGAAACTGCTGATCTACTGGGATTTTCACGCACAACCATCTCTAGGGTTTACAGAGAATGGTCCGAAAAAGAAAAAACATCCAGTGAGCGGCAGTTCTGTGGGCGGAAATGCCTTGTTGATGCCCGAGGTCAGAGGAGAATGGCCAGACTGGTTGGAGCTGATAGAAGGGCAACAGTGACTCAAATAACCACCCGTTACAACCAAGGTGGGCAGAAGAGCATCTCTGAACGCACAGTACGTGGAACTTTGAGGCAGATGGGCTACAGCAGCAGAAGACCACACCGGGTGCCACTCCTTTCAGCTAAGAACAGGAAACTGAGGCTACAATTTGCACAAGCTCATGGAAATTGGACAACAGAAGATTGGAAAAACGTTGCCTGGTCTGATGAGTCTCGATTTCTGCTGCGACATTCGGATGGTAGGGTCAGAATTTGGCGTCTACAACATGAAAGCATGGATCCATCCTGCCTTGTATCAACGGTTCAGGCTGGTGGTGGTGGTGTCATGGTGTGGGGAATATTTTCTTGGCACTCTTTGGGCCCCTTGGTACCAATTGAGCATCGTTGCAACGCCACAGCCTACCTGAGTATTGTTGCTGACCATGTCCATCCCTTTATGACCACAATGTACCCAACTTCTGATGGCTACTTTCAGCAGGATAATGCGCCATGTCATAAAGCTGGAATCATCTCAGACTGGTTTCTTGAACATGACAATGAGTTCACTGTACTCAAATGGCCTCCACAGTCACCAGATCTCAATCCAATAGAGCATCTTTGGGATGTGGTGGAACGGGAGATTCGCATCATGGATGTGCAGCCGACAAATCTGCGGCAACTGTGTGATGCCATCATGTCAATATGGACCAAACTCCCTGAGGAATGCTTCCAGCACCTTGTTGAATCTATGCCACCAAGAATTGAGGCAGTTCTGAAGGCAAAAGGGGGTCCAACCCGTTACTAGCATGGGGTACCTAATAAAGTGGCCGGTGAGTGTATATACTTCCATTATATAGTCCACAAACTAAACATTTATGGATGCTCGAGACAAAATAGTAGACACGTGTCCTTCACCATACTCCAGGAAGGGCTTCCATATGCGTGTCAGTCTTAGAGTGGACGAGGCGTCTTAGGAAGTCAAGAGGGATATGTTCCAAGATAAGCTTCTTCCACCCAAAATAGTTGGAGATTTGAGATCCATTGCAGCAAAATATTCATTTCAGATGATACTGTGGTCTTTATGTATGGTTTCACCAAAAAGTGATTCCTGATAAACCAACAAACTCCCTTGTTTTTGCTACAGTTATAGAACCTTAAAGTGATATAAGTATATGATTCTTAACCTAGACATACAGCAAAGTTTTAAAGGCAGGTTTTTAAAGGAATAGTACACCCAAAACATGATTAGCCTTCATTTTCTACTCACCCCCATGCTGAACAACACTCTGGAGTACTTTTTTGATATCTCAAATGCATCTGGAGATCTGGGAGGCTTCTTGCTGTCTGCTGACATTCAAATAATGGAGGTCTATGGCGCCCGAGGCAGAAAGGTCCATAAAAGTCCACAAAAAACGTGTCAATATTCCTCCATACTGCTCGTCCAATGTATTCCAAGTGTCCTGAGTGGGTAGCGTCCAGAATTTACTCGAAACGAAGTCATTTAGAATGTTTTTAGAGCATAAACAGTAGTGTATAGGATTTCCTAAAAGCGCGCGCCTGTGAGTTCACGGCGCTACGGAAACCGCGGCAGACCAAACCAGATGAAAGTGCGCATTCAGCTCGGCAAAGAACTCATGCTCTTCCTCAACACTGAAGTCCTCAGACATTTTTCTTTCGTTGTTTCTTTCTTTGCACAGGTAAACAGCACATTTCTTCTTCTACGCTTGCATTATCGGCAGAGCAGACGCTGAATGCGCACTTTCATCTGGTTTGGTCTGCCGCGGTTTCCGTAGACTCATGAACGCGCTTTTAGGAAATCCTATACACTACTGTTTATGCTCTAAAAACATTCTAAATGACTTCGTTTCGAGTAAATTATGGACGCTACCCACTCAGGACACTTGGAATACATTGGACGAGCAGTATGGAGGAATATTGACACGTTTTTTGTGGACTTTTATGGACCTTTCTGCCTCTGGCGCCATAGACCTCCATTATTTGAATGTCAGCAGACAGCAAGAAGCCTCCCAGATCTCCAGATGCATTTGAGATATCAAAAAAGTACTCCAGAGTGTTGTTCAGCATGGGGGTGAGTAGAAAATGAAGGCTAATCATGTTTTGGGTGTACTATTCCTTTAAGGCTCAGAGTTTTTCTCTTAAGTTCTGCAGGACACTTCAGATGTCAGATTAGGCACCTAGGATGTAGAGCTTCTCTTAGATTATTGCCTAACCACTTTGTTACCATTCAGTGTTACAGAAACCATGTTTTTGACCATAATAGATTTTCAGCATTGGTGAAAAATAAGTTACTGTCCAGGGAAAATATATAAAAAACAAACAAAACATGCTTATCTTATATAAAAATGTTTTCATAGTCTGACCTCTCATTTTCCCAAATTCCTTTCTTCAAACAAAACTAACTTAAAACTTATTTCTAATTTATTAAGTTGATCTGTTTGCATTTCATAATAATCAGGTTACTTTTATGCAATTCAAAACAATAAACTTTGTGTTTGAAATAAAAACACTCGTTAGTATTCATTTTGAGTAAGTATATTTTAATAATACTAAATAAATAAGTCTAATGATTATGTATTACAAATAAATAAGCTTTATTCTACAACACAGTATGGATCATGTAAGGCTTATTTAATACGTTTGTATTAAAATGATCTAAAACAAGTAAATAGGCATTTGTTATCTAATAGATTTACATAAATCATATTTATTTTGGTTGAATAAATCTTATTTAATTTGGGCTAATTGTTTCTGTGGGTGTGCATTCATACTGTTCAACATTATTCTTAAACTTGAATCTTTCTTGAAGTAGAAAAGGACTGAATAATTTATACTCACAATAAATGCGCAGACCAGTGATCAATGTGAATATAAGGCAACAGATCAGAAACGGTGACAGACGCCGTAGGATGGCTGGGATCCTGCGCTCTAATTAGAGAAATATTTTAGGAACATCATAGTCTGCGATTTACCAAATCTCAGAAAAAGAAAGATTTTCTTATCTACTTTTTTTCTGTGGTCCATGTGGAATTGCAGGGTGGTTGCCCATGGTGCCAGTTGCAGCAATCCTGTATTAAACTTTTTCTTGAAGATGACCTTTAAATATAACGTGAAAACCTTCATAATTTATACATAGGAACTCCAAAAGTGTTTGATCTAATAAAAGAAATTCTCATTTATAAAAGAAAACTAATCATACCTGCAGACCGGTAAACACTCGGCTTAAGGGTCCTAGTCGCCTCCATAGACTCTGTTCTCCTATTGAACAAACTCCTCCGTCAGCTTGCAGGCAGAAGTGATTGGGACTGAAAAAAGAAAGAGTTTCTTACTGAGAACCATCTGCTTTGTGGTTTCTCATATATTTCCTGCTCAGCTTTAAAATGCTGTCGTTAACCTTTTAACCTTAGGTTTTTGTGACTGCTGACATTTCTCCTGGACTTTTTAGAAAAATATCTCCTTTCTTGGTTAAATTTCAGTAAACTGTTGCAGAACAAACAAAGCCATTAAATCTGTTGTTTTATAATTGTTAATGATTAACAGTCAACGTGGGAAATCTTTAATTTCCCCATTTATGAGTGACCAACTTAATTTATGACATATGTTTTTAATCAAGGAAGTTCAATTCACTTCAGATCAGTTTATTTCTATAGCTCCAATTCACATCATGTCATCTCAGGTCACTTTCCAGTTCACCAGATCATCCAGTCAGATTGATTCAAAGTTTTCTATCTAAGGAAAACCAGCTGATTGCATCGACTCATTGACTCTTCAGCAATCCCTCACACTAAGCATGCTTGTAGCGACAGTGGAGAGGAAAAACTCCCTTTGAACAGGAAGAAACCTCCAGCAGAACCAGGCTCAGTGTGAGCGGCCATCTGCTGAGGCCCACTGGGGTTCAAGGAGACAGAAGCAGACATAGAAAAAGAAGCATAGATACAAAAGGCAACTGTCAACCAGCTCCACAGGCGGCCCCGTCCAGGAAACACACAGCCAGGCAGACGAGCTCCGAGCCAGCTCCCATGTCAGAGGATGAAGAGAGCACATCCAGTTAGTCACAGTCAGAGAAACAGGACCACACTGGAAAACAGGCCAAGCTCCAACATCTAGAAACAAAGGTGTTGATGGCAGCAGCACAGCTGATATTTCTCTCCAGGATGGAGTCACAGCCAAACAGGAACAGACCAGATGAAGCTACTATGAGAAAAAGCAGAGAGAGCAGAACGTTAGAGATTGAACTAACAGATTCTGCAGAGTGGGAGAATAGAGATAGAATGAAGCAGAATGATGAAAAAGGGGTCCCTATGTCCTCCAGCAGTCTAAGCCTATAGCAGCAGAACTATAGAGATAGCTCAGGATAACCTGAGCCACTCTAACTATAGGTTACAGCTCCCAAAACATTTACAATACAACTGCTATTCTCTGCCTCCCCCGGTGCTGAAGGGGAGAGCTTTGCTGATTGTCGAACCTTCTGTAACATATCCAATTAGTAGTTCTAGAAGGAACCCAAATAGTTCCTTAAAAAGCTCATGCAAAATAGAAGTAGGTTAAAAGAAACTTATGGAAAATAATCTGTAAATATCAGCAAAAAGTAAACTTTTATTCTAAAAGTCATATGTTTCATGTCTTGGTATTTTCTGCCTTTCTATATATTTAACTTCCAACCTCAGTCTGTCTGTTTTTGTTACTTTCAGTGTCTTTAGTTTGGATTCTTTTCCCCATTTTAGTTCCTCTTTTGCCCTGAGACAATGAGTTTCTGTGATATCTGTTCCTCATGATGTTTGATCATTATTGTGCAAATCCTCACTGGATATTTTTCTTCTGTTGTAAGAATATTGGGGTTTTAAAGTTTCGTTTCTGTTTTGTGGTAAATCCTGTACATGGGCTCTGGCATATCTTGCCTATTTATCACCTGATTTAGTTTAAGGTTAAAGAGAAGTTCTGCCTTTTCTGACCTACCTTTTATCTCTGTAAAAATCACTTTTAACCTCTGAGGTAAATGTCTAAAAGAAATTAAACCAAAGAAAAACAAAACACACCTGTGCAATTTTATCAGGGTTTATGGAAAAATATAGCTGAGTATTGCCAACCTAAATAACATTAACAAAAATAAATGTAACAGTAAAATTACCAGAACTGCTGTCTAATAACTTTTCTAAATAAAGGAATAATTATAAAATTAAGAGAATTTGCCCTAGCACTGATTCCTGAGGTACTCCGGAAGTATTGCAGGATAACTTCAGTGAATTAATGAGGCATCATCAAGAAATTTCTAAAAATTATTGTAAAAATCAGGAGCTGTTTCACATGGTGACGCCTTAAGAAAGCTGATAGGAGGGGCCCAGTTATACTTTTAAAGACTGAAATCTGATGTTTGATTGCAATAGCTAATTCATGATTTAACTAAACCAGGTAAAACATCCAGATAATCTCTCAAAGCCATCCTATCTATCATAACTCTTGCAGTTTATCCATTTGGAAGAAACATTTAAAGGACATCGTCAGGTTTCTGTTTCTGTTATGTTTTTCTTTTGAGTATCCAGGTTTGCTTTGCTCCTTGTTTTCTAGTTTTAGTGGGTTAATTCTTAGTTTACTGAGTTCTTTGATTCTTTTGTCAGTTACTGTCTTAGTCTTGGTTCTGTTATATTTTCTTGTTACTGTTGTCTTGCTTTACTCCTTGGTTTCTAGTGTTACTGGTTTTATTTTTATTTTGCTGTGTTCTTTGGTTTTTTCTCAGTTACTGTCCTAGTCTTGGTTCTGTTATGTTTTCTTTTGAGTGTTTAGTTTTCTTTTCTCCTTGTTTTATAGTCCTAGTAATTTAACATTGTGTTGTTATTTCCAGTCTTCCAGGTTTCTATTTGTTGCTCTCTGCTGCCCTCTTGTGTTCTCCTTCTTCCCTAGCTCTTTACCTCTCTTGTTCTGTGCACACCTGCTCCCAGTTTCCTCATTAGCGCCCTCTTTGTCTCATTCTCCTTTAAAAGCCCTCTCTCTTCAGTTCCCCTTTGCTGGGTCCTCGTCATAAACTGTCTAACTTCGTCAACTTCCTCTAACTGCGTCTTCCTGAGTCTTCCTCGTTGTGATAGTGATTTCCCTGATGTCTCCATGGTTTCTGGTTCGTTTTGACTTCTTTTCATGTTTGATTTTTTTTTGGATTTTTGACTCCTGGTTTCATGTTAGTTTGGACTTTGTTTTCATTATTGGATTTTTGGATAACCTGCCTCTGTTTTCAGTTTCCCTTTCATTAAATCTAAATAAATTAATCTCTGCCTTCCTGCCTCTGCTCTTGGGTCAACAATCCATAACCAAATCCTGACAAAAATGTATCTTAAGAGGTGAAATTGTTTAACTCTGGGTATAATGGCAATTCTGGGAACTCTGACTTGGACTGTTGAGAAATTTATCAGCCTAATTTATTTAGATAGTAGAGCCCATGCTTAAAGGTAAAGTGGTGGATTTTAAAGAATGATTGAAAAGACCCGCCCTGCACATGCACAACCCTGTAGTCGCTCCTGAGAGGGACGCATGAGCCCATTTCTCCATGTGCACGCTCTGTTTAAAAGTTGCTATTTGCATCGCTCATATAACTTACTTTCCAAAAGAAGATTTGCGAGTTTTTTCCACTATGTCCGATTCACCACCAGTGTTATGCCGATAAATACCTGCTTGCCGAGAATTACCTCCCCCGCTCAAAATGGAACTTTAAAACATATTCTTAATGTTTTTATATTTCTTATGCATGGATGTCCTAAACTTGAGGACATATGTGTCCGCTTTGAAGCGAGCATGCAAATTCAAGATATTATGCCTTCCCACCTTTGTGTTTGACCACTGCAGCCAGCCTGCGTTCAGTTGCACCCAGCATACGGCTCCGCTCCCGGTCCTACTCGTTCACAGCCTTTCTGAGCGCATCAACCGCTGCCGGCAGCCTGATCAATGCCCAAATAGCCACTGACATCCTCTCTAATTGTAGATACATCAGGTATCCTCCAAATCCAAACAGGAGAAATCCAAGTATTATAAATCTGACAAATCCATATATCTTCGATATCCTCCACAAACAACGTTAAATGGGGTTTATTTAAAACATCACCAAACTCATCTTGCAACAACCATAAGGTATAAAAACAACATCTATAGACTCACCTCAATTGGTAACTGCCTCTGCTGGTGGAACAAAGCACTGCATTTCACACAACCCACCCCTCAACAAGTCAAGAATAACTGGGTTTGCAGTCGGACCAAAGCCCTGGGAAAGTGAATTTACTCCTGCTGTTAGGAATCCAGTTTGTGTGGGTTGTGTTTTGTTTGTGTTTTCTCCCTCCACCACCAGGTGGCGCCCTGTTCTTGTTGGCCCTTCCACACACCTGCGGCTGGTTGGCTCATTATCTGAGGACTGCCACTACCTCGAGGCCAGAGTGTTTGCCAGTTTTGGGTACTCTAGCCAAGCTGAGTTTAGCTGAGTCAACTGAGTCTTTGTCTCTCTGCGTTCTAACCTTGTTGTTTTTTGTCTTTGCCTTTCGGAAGGAAGACATCCTGCAAACTGGATTTTTGGCCTTCTCCCCCTGGAAGGATTGTTTGAGCTTCACACTGAGCAGAGGATGCCAACTGGGTGTTTAGGCCTTCTTCCCCTGGAAGGATTGTTTGAGGTTTCACACTGAGCAGGGGATTAACCTCCACACGTACCGTTCAAATTCTCCTGGAAAACAAATTGGCAGTCTGCTCCATAGCTCCTAAAGAAACCAACCTAACCAAATTAAAACCCTGTCCGCCCTTCAACGAGTCAACCAAATTCTGGAATAACCCACACCGACTGGATTCTGGGAAGAACACCTTTTTCTGGAAAGGTCAGTCCTGTTTCATTCAAGTTTCCCACGGAACCTGAACTAAACTGTGAACTTCCCTTCTCACTTCCAGTTCCGGTTCACCAGCTCTCTGAGTTACCCTGGATCAAGCTTCTTGATTATATCAATAAACCTGTTAAACTTTTACTCTGATTCTCTGAGTGGTTTCCTGCATGTGGGTCAGATGCCTTAAAAAGAACATGACACCTGTAAATGAGAACGGAAATACTACACAGACTGAAAAGCCAAGACCTTTGAGTGGCAATGAAAAAGGCCTAATTATAAATTGGAAACACAATTGTTTGTATTTGTATGACAAAAAGGCATTGAGGAATGTTTTTTTTTGTGGTGGAATTATTTGAAACACTGCAAAATACCATGAAAGCGCATTTGAAACTCAGGATGAACCCTCAGACTTTATAGATCCACATCTGGACTAAAACTCAAGCAAATTTGGATTGAATAAGTAGAAGCCTGTTTGTTCCACAAAGCTTTTAG